ATTGACGAAGCATACAAATAGAAACGGACCTAGCACACTTCCCTGAGGGATTCCCGACTGCACATGCTCCCAGGATGACTCCTCTCCATTTACAACCACACACTGTTGCCTATCAGTCAAGAAGTCCCTTATCCAAGCGTGAATCTGCCCCTTAATTCCATAGCCTTTCAGTTTTTTCAACAAACGTTTGTTTGGGACGGTATCGAAGGCCTTAGCAAAGTCTAGATAAATGGTGTGGACACAGCCATATCTGCCTCAATGATTGAAGTCCATAGGTCGAGCACCGCTAACAGATTTGACCACGAAAAACCTTTTTTTGTCAGAAAGTGTTTGCAAATAGGTGCATTTTGTAGCTGTATCTCCACAGAGCATGGGACTTTTTGAATTTTTGAAATCCATCGATAAACAAAAAAGTTACAAATTATTTAATCAATTAATTTTTTATAGTTATAAAATGAAAAAACCCCAAAATATGGGACGTTCTTTGGTGAGTTTTGAGACAAATTCGTCGTAACTCACTCATTTCTCGGAGTATTTAAATGAAACTTAGCAGCCCAGTACATTTTCTAGTGCAGAATCTAGATCTAGTCCTGCTTTCAGATTTCCTCATAGCTGTCCTACTTTTTGAGTTATGAAGACGTTTATATAGGCCTAATAGGTAAAAATGCGTTTTGAGACAATATTTGTCATAGCTCGCCTATTTCTTGGAGTATGTAAATGAAACAGTCCAGTACAGTTTTTAATGTAGAATCTAGTCATGCTGTCAGATTTTTAATATCTTCTATCCTACTTTTTGAGTTGTAAAGACATTTACAGAGGTAAAAAAAAGTGGCGTTCTTTACAGATTTACAAAGATTGTCAGTCATATATATATCTTCTCCCAAAGTCTTGATATTTGAATGAAACTTGGCAACGTAAAAGATTCCTCCTTGCTAAGCAATGCTCTGGATCCATTTGTCTCAAAAATTTAAGTTGAGAGCTGGATTTATTATTAGTCTAATAAATCCAGTTCTCTACTAGTAAAAGCATGCACACTTTTAGATAAGATCGTCTGTATATCCATTGTTGGACAGTGTCCTATTGTGTGGTAGATTAAGGTGCGTTTAGATTATAATATTGTTTATAGTTTACAAGTCCCTGGAATATTTCGCATGTATAGGCTACAACTCATACTATAAATGTAACAGATTTACCCCCCCCCCCCTCTCTCTCTCTCTCTCTCTCTCTCTCTCTCTCTCTCTCTCTCTCTCTCTCTCTCTCTCTCACACACACACATGCATGCGCGAGCACTCACGGGACTATCTTCCCAGACTGGACTAATAAATAAGTACCATACTCTTTAAAAACAATCTAATGCCTCATTTTTCCAAACAGAGCAAACAGGACGAGTCCAAGTGTGTGCTTTCCCAAGAGGGGAGAATAAGCTTTCATAACGCAAACACAATGTCATACCACTTCTTAGATGTTTGCTTTTCTGTTTCTATTCTTCTCTCATGCAATTAAGCAAATAAAAATGACTACCTCTATCGTATTGTGACTAAAATGCGACACAAATGCAAGTTATCAGGGCCCCCGTTTAGGTTTCAAGAATTCTTCCCCCCCCCCTTCCAACAGTGGAAATTTCCCAGCCGCCGGTCGTTCACCCAGCACGCACAAATGGCAATGCCGCTTTTCCCTTAGTTACTCCCACATTTTTAAACTTACGCAAAAACCACTAAACACAGAAGCATGAAATTTTAAGGGAATAAAGAAAAATGGTGTACAATATATCAGTCAGTTTGACAAATCACTGCTCTGAAAAATCTTCAATGCGCACCACATCAACCACTGTCGCAAACATTTTCGACTGCTTCTTGGATGGGTACCAAGTTGTCAAACTGCATACTACGAGATTGACCTCTTTTCTGAGTGGTTGCCAAGTTTCATTCGTATCCATTCACGAGAAGCGGCGTGAGAGCGAGTTGAAGACAACAACCTTTGCGTTAGTTCGTCCCACGAAACACCCCCGCGGCGGGGGCCAAAAATCGACAGAACAAAACGCGCTCGGTGGGCATTGCTAAAGAATGGTCTTTGTCTTTTTGTTTTCTAGATCTAGATTCTCTAGATTTAGATATATCTAGAATCTAGATCTAGATCAAGAATCTAGTAGTAGGCTTGGAGGAGTATATATATCTCGAAATTCTATCTCTAGTAGCCAAGACTTCTCGAGATTGAATAGGCCTATCTGAATCTAAATCAGGTTCTAGATCTAGTGAAGTGCCACTGTAGTGTAGATAGATGGCTAGGCTATTCATCAGCTTACAGTGGCTTACTGAATTTGTGCAAAGTAGCTCTGGCTGGTTCATGATAAAATCGAATGACTATTTGGACTCGAGTCTGATATACGAAAATTATATGAAGTGACTATTTCTCCAAACGTTCGGGAAAATTATAAACTTGAACTATTTCTCCAAACGGTTTCCGTTCTCGATATTTTTTTGTTATTTGCGAGATTTATGTGTCATCTTATGATCTTTCATTCAGGAAGGGAAGAAGCATTTTTTGCATGGAATTCAATTTCTAGAGCTAGAGATTTTTAAATGTCTAAATATCAGATACTTCAGTTGTGGTTGGGGCAACAGTTCACGTGCCCGGACTATACTTTTATTTGAAAATACCTTCAGAAGGTACTGCGAGATAACAAGACTGATCGACCTTGGCAGTAACTTATTTTGTGTTTAGTCACCAAGCAAAAACTAAAATCCTCCATGTAAAAAAAAAGCAAGTGGCTATTCTCCGGGGTCGCGCGGTCAATAGATTGGAAGCTATTCTCCGGCGTCACACCGCCGATCTATTATAATGAATTATTTGTCGGCGCAGATTTGCAAATACCTCTCTCATCTGTTTGTCTTGGGGAAAAATTCCCATAACTTCACCTCTTCGTGCCACTGCCATTGATACAGAAATGTTTTCAGACACAAACTGCCTCAATTTCTCCAATTCAGAATTATCTGTCCCCGTCGTTTATGCAGAAAAATTCTGAAATTATGCAAACTGAGCCTAAAAATGTGAAATTATGCGATTCTGTTAATTTCAACAAAGAATGATAGAGATACAACAAGAAAGCACTGAGGTAGCGAAATATTGAAAATTACAATAAAAAGAAATAAGTTAAACAACAAGCTATTCTATGTGACTAGACAGAATTTTAGACACAAAGTCAATTTTGTTTGTTTAAAGAAACATAATCATTATTTTAAAATAAGCAAATGGACGACCCAAATAAATGAGGCCATAAAGTTATGTTAGACAATTATCATTGATCAAATATAATAAAAGGTAGACCTACTGTACCGTCGGGACTTCACAATCACAACATGTAGATCTAGACAGACGTTGAAAGCAACAGGAGCCAGACACGACTGTACCGGTGGACGTATTCTTTATTACTGACCAGTAGTGACCACTCTTCTCTAAAATACGTGCCAGTGGTTACAGTTGCCAGGTCTTC